ATTTTGGGTGTTGGTAGGTGTGCCAGTGAATATTGGCTGTAAAGAGACATTAAGGCCAGTTTGGTGACATAATTTTTTTTGGTACTCTAGGAAGAGTGTTCATCAGACTTATGTTAGGCATTGCTATTTTTGAAGTGTTAGAACTAAAACTTTTTTTTAATTACTGGACTAAATAAAGTATTCTGAATATTGAGGGAGTTTAACAACTAGAGTCCTTGTTTACTGTTGTTAAAAATCACTATATTAAAAAGGCAGAATGAAAGAACTCAATGTGCAGATCAAAAGAAAGAAAGATATAAGAAGTAGTTTAGAACATGTTTCTTGGCCCAAAATGAGTCATTTGGACACCTAAGCAGGATTTGGACATGGTTTTTCCTGTTGAATTGTCAGTAGTTATGAGCATTGTTGGTGGCATAAAGGTGTTGAAAGGGCACATTTAACAGATTTCTAGTATGGGACTTTGATTGCTACCTTGCAGAATCTTGCACGGTTGGATACTGCTGTTCTGTGTGCCAGTAATGAGAGGCATTTTATGTATGAAATATAGTTAGTTGCTCACAGCAGTATCTGCTTCCACTCTCTTGTTCTCATGACCTTCTGCTACCACTGAACTTGACATTTTCAGGAAGTATTTAATGAGCAACTAACCTGCTGGGTGCCAGCCTCTTCTTCACTCTGAGGATAGCCTGTTTCATAAAAGTGTTCTCACTTTTAATACTTCCCACCTGTATGGTGCAAATTCATGTGTCTTTTCTGTGCTGAGCATGCCATTTTGCAACCTCAACCTCTTTTTTGTTTCAAATGGTTTGCAGATATTTCTGTCTCAGGAAGCTTACTGGAAGGGTGGGAATACAGAGAGCTACACTCTCAGAAATAGATATTCAAGAGGAGTGCCCATAGTGGGGGGGGGGGGGGGCATAATTCCTCCTCCATATTTCCTTCCCCCACTCTTCACATTGACTGACTGCATATCCCTGAAGGAAGACAACTGCATGCTGATAGAGGAATGAGAGAACACTTGAATGAAAAAGGAAACCCTGGTTCATGGTCCAGAGCCTATGGTGACCTTGAAATAAGCGTCAGCCTGAACTAGTTAACTATCTCCCATATAATTCATGGCTGCTGAAATGTCCCTTACTTGTATTGCTAGTGATCTAACTCGTGGATACAGCTAGGGATAGGATAATTCCTATCCCTAGGACAGAATTTGCTTTTTTCATTTAACTCTATGCCTTATCCCATACTATCCTTAACAGCTTCAAAATCCCTCCTGACCCAAGCTAGGCTTTTGTTCTATGGAACTATGGGGACATCCTCAGCTGATCTTTTTAAAAACTCTCTGATGTTTGAGTACATGAAGTTAAGACTCCTCTGAGACCACCATGCCATTGTGAACAAGACCAGTTAAAGTCTATTAGAAGCCTGAGTTTTAAAAAGTCCCATGGTGATTTGAGATCTCAGAAAGTGATTGGAATAGTTGGGATGGGGGAGTTGACCCAACCTAAGAACCAGGCTTTGCTTGCATAGCCTGTTCAGTTTCAAGGACCCATGGTGTGAACCATTAATGTTCTGAAGAGACCTGAGAAAAACTGTCCTGCTAAAGCAGCCTTTCCAACTTCAAAAGCCAATTCATCATTTCTATGTTACAAATTACTTATTGGTTTAAACTCTTCTACTTTGATATCATAGGCCTGGCAAGTTCCTTCTGTGCTGTTTTTCTAGAAATGCAGGCAGGAACCAATTTCTTCTTTGGAACAATGTAAAGAATTATTTCGTTTTCCCTCCAGGTGTGGCCTTCCTGTCCATGCTTATTGTACACTGCATAGCCGTGCTTCTGGGCCACTCAAGATAGTTACAGCTCAGAAGAGAGCCTAGCCATGGGGGTTCCTGTAAAAGGGAGAAACACCTTCAAATTGGGAACTTGGGATGTCCCGGCTAGTTTGCCAGGCTAAGCCATCACATTATCTTGAGCATAGTGGGAGCAGATGCAACAGGGGAGGGCTCCAGTTCTATATTTCTAGCAAATGTGTAAGGGAGATTAAAGTATCTTGTCTTAGGTCTCAGAAAATGGCTGGTCATGAAGTGGAACTAGTGTGGTATTTGAAGTTGAATTGGAGGCTACACTCTCAAGTCACCCTGAGACAGGAATGTGCTGGTGTGATCTGGGAGGGTTTGAGTTTCCTCTTTGATGTGAATTTTTTCAAGGCTGGTTTGATTTTAACAATGTTGCCAAAGCCCCCCTCTCTACCCTCACATACACAAAGAGTGTATTGTTCATGTACCCAGTGTACTCTAAATAAGACACCTAATCAGATGCAGCAACCCCTCTTGCATAAGCCCTGGTTAGAATGTAGTTTTTTGAAACCTCTAGGCCAGTAGCCAGAGCGGAATTCTTTAAATGGGACAGATGTCAAGAGAATGGCTGGTCTTTAGCACCCTTCTAGAAAAAAAGCAAGTCTGGGATTACAACTTCCAGTGACCTACTTTAAATAGACACTACTCTGGAAGGTGACTTTATTTTATAAATATTTTAAAACATAAAATCCAAAAATATAACTCAGTGAAAATTACAGTGCATGATGGTAACCCTGTGGCTACTTGTTTGAATACAGCTCTTGAGTGTATCTAATGATTGATGCACCTGTTGAGGTTGCATTCTTGTACATTCAGGATGGGTTTCAAAGTTAACAGCTTACTTTAACATGATGTAAACTGCTGTGTAAAAACTGGGTTGCAGATTTATCAAACTTCAGAGGTTTTATATAAAAACATGTAGATACTTCAAGCACCTTAATACAGTCTTTGGAAGGAAAGGGTTCTATTAATTTTTTGGATTTATACCAATCCGTACGCTTATGGAGTGATTCGTCTACTCTCAACCCTCAGACAAAATGGAGCCTAGTGGTCATGTGCACATTTCTACTTGGATTGTCTTAGGTTCTATGGGTAGCAGTTTCCAACCCAGTCTTATGAGGGTGGAGGACAGGTTACCCTGTGCCTGCATCAGTTGTTAGGTCAGGAGATTGGTGGGTTAGGAGCAAGGCTTGGAATGGGAGCTTATACCCAACTTGAGCCCAGTGGGGCCCAAGCCCCTTAAGGGGAGATGAATAATCCCTGGCTTCTGTAGGTTGAAAGCCTTTAACATGTACCATAATCAATAAACCTCGTTTCATGGTTGTGAAGAAAGTGATAGAATATCGTGCTCTCTTTCTGAAACATCTTATTCTTCATGGTCATTCTTTGACGAAGAAAGAAAAACAAAACAAAACAGTAAAAGTGTCTTTATTCTCATGTTTAAAGAGTTTTTCTATGATGCTGCATTAACAATACAAAAATATTTTGAATACTACAATGGTCTTTTTTTTTTTATCCTCATCTGAGGATATTTTTCCATTGATTTTCAGATAGAGTGGGAGGGAGGGAGGGAGGGAGAGAGATCCATGTGAGAGAGGTACATTGATTGGTTGCCTCCCACACAACCCCAACCAGGGCCTGGGATGGAACTGCAACCAAGGTACATGCCCTTGACCAGAATCAAACCCGCAACTCTAGTCTGTGGACTAACTCTTAACTGCTGAACCAAACCAGCCAGTGCTACAATGGTCCATTTTTCTTAAGACTTCTACAACACTATGCTATAATATATGATTCTTGGAATCTAAGAAACCAGTGACTAAAGTAGGAACTTTTGTTAAAGGGTGTGTGTGGGTACAGGGACAGCCCTTTTTGTTTGGACTTGGGCTGTGTACAGTGAGGAGGCAAAAAAAAAAGTTAAATTGAAAAGGTTGTGTGTTTTTTTGCCCGGCCAGTGTGGTTCAGTGGATTGAACGTCGTCCCATGGACTGAAAGGTCCTGGTTTGATTCCCAGTGAGGGCATCTGCCCCAGTTGTGGGCTCAATCCCTAGTAGGGGGTGTATGGGAGGCAGCTACCTGATAGATGTTTCTCTCTCACATCGATGTTTCTTTCTTTAAAAAAAAAAAAATCAAAAACATTTTTAAAAAAGATTTTTTTTTTTTTTAAGGCTCAGGGTTGAAGCTTGGCTCAGAAATGGGTTAAATTAGGCTGTGGTGAAAACCCACTACCACTAGAGGTTTTCTGGGCTCCTTTTTTTGGTTGTGATGGTCCTCATTCCCACAGCCCCATGGGGAAACTGAAGCTGGCTTTGTTTCACGCTGGAAGATAGACCCTGGTTGTCATGAGATTTGGTTTGCCCTCTTACCACTGCGCTCTCAGAATGGGGAGGGATGCACTCTGGACTTGGGGTTATGACCTCTTTGAACTGTGGGCTATAGCCACTAGTGACAGGCCTTGGGGCTTTGGTATTGGGACTTCTTAGGCAGTTGAGTTTCTCAGGAATCATTTCCAAGTAATTTGAAGTAGAGAGCCAGATAACCCCACCACCCACACTTGCCTGATTTAAGGTAGTGTCAGGTTTTTCTGTTGCCTAGAGTGATAGGTCTAAACTAATCTATTTCATGCCCTCCACTTACAAGCTCCTGAGAATATGACAGGATTCCTCTGGTCCAGCTTAAAAATGGCAGCTATTTTTCTGTAAAACATGGCTTTTAAGAGAAAAGCATTGTTTGGAGCTTTGTGGTTGTGACCAGGCTCACATATTTGATAAACCAGCTCATTCTTGGTCCATGAAGTGTTCGGTATGGGGAGGGGGTAGCAGTGGTAGGGGTGGGGAGGCAGGGTAGAGAGAGCTGAACTCAGTCCAGCCCATCTATTATCTATAGCAGAAAAGGGAGGGAGGCAGGGGTAACAAGACAGATGGTAAAAAGACGCAGGCTGCCACAGGCACAGGAGATGCCCTTAATCAGATGACAACACATATCTGATACACCACTTGGAGCAGTTTGAATTGATGGCCCCAAGGTTCAGGCAGACGTTGTGCAGCCTCTGAAATCTCCAGCACTTGGACCCTGAGAAGGAGTTAACAGGGCCCCTGGACGGTTTCCACGTGTTTTGGGGCTCTCTCGCTGCTTCTCAAAGAGGGGGTCCCTGGAGGAGGCCAGGTGTCCTGTGCATGCTAGACTGCCTGTCTCTGAAATTCCTGTTGCTGTACCTGTGTACTCTGCAGGGCACTGCTGGGGGCCTGTGGGGGCCCAGGGGGCTGGGAGACTGAGAGCTGCAGAGAGACCTGGTGATGTAGGTGCTGGCTCCGCAGGGCTAGCAAGTAGTGCTGTGGGGAAGTGGGGCAGCAGGAGGTATGAGGGTGAGTCCTGGGGGGCTGGGGACCCGGAGCAGCCTACAGTACTGTCATCGGAAGGAACGGGGCTGGGGCAGCGGCCTTCTCCGGGTAAGTACCGAATGCATTTCTTTTTCCTCCTAGGAATAGTGAAGAGAGTTATCTGTAAACAGAGGGTGAATTCATAGTCATACACCACAACCAAAACAAGCTGTCCTTGCAAGGCCTAGTTGACCTCTTTGTCCCCTCTCCCCAGGACTTGGGTGATGTGCTTATCCTTCAGACCTGAATCAGCACTGCAACTCTTATGGGCCTGGCACAGACCTGGAACAGGTGCAGTTACCAGCACAGCCACATGGTGGCACAGAGACCTTTGTAGCTGGGCCTGTGGGCTGCCTCGGTTCCCAGGAGATCCTTTGAGCCTCAGCTTCATGTGTTTGTGGGGCTCAGATCTGCATTAAGGCAAGGGGATGCAAAGCTGTGGCTTCTTGGGCTGAGCAGTCCCAGTGCTCAAAGCTAGGTTAGGGGCAGAGAAGGGGAAAAGAGATCTAAGACGGTGATTCTCTTACTCTTTCATCCACGCTTACTATCTTGAGTTCTCTGGGCCACTATTTGTCTTTGAGTAGCGTGGAATAGGTAGAATTCAGACCTCTGACAACACGGTTGCCTCCCATCATGTATACATATAAACATATTTCCCCAGATCTCTCTTTGTCCTTGGATAGGGGAACATGCGGGCACTCTGAGGAGCTGGACAAACATTCCTTAGTCAGTGAACTAACTGCCTAGAGCAGCAGCAGCCTCAGCCCTATTAGGCTTGGCATGAACTTAAACTAGGCAACTTTTAGTCACTTGATAGGTATACCTTCTGTTCACATAAACAAGGATATTTCCTGTTGTATGGTGAGACACAGGTTTAGTGCTAGAATGGCCTTTTGGTTAGAACAGCCCTGCTCTTCTCTCCCTTCTTCAGCCCTCAGGTCTCAGTAGGTACAAGATAATGAGTTGGCCACTTGGCATCATAATATGATATTTTCTACTACAGTCACCTTGTTTTTCTTATCGATTTAAGGGCTCAGGCAGCGACCTCAACTTGAAGTGATGGAGCTGGTTGGCCATTATGACTTTCAGGCCTGGGAGCAGGGGCAGAGGCCACCTGAATGGTGTGAGATTTGGCTCCAGAGGACCCTAGGCACCAGGACTACCTTCTTGAGTCTGCCTTCCCTTCTAGGACATTGTCTCCCTCACCTTCCACTTAGACCCAAGTGATCTCTACAAGCTGTGTTCAGTGTTCACTCCCATTCTTCGGAGGCATGGGCTCCACAATCTGCAGGTATCCTAGAGGGCTAGAGGGCCAGAGGAAGGCTATAGGCCCAGCAGAACATGTGCAGAGTCAAGGAAGCAGCTTGAAGCAAAGGGAGGATGGTGGTGGGGACAAACCCACCTGCACGGACCACACCAATCCGTCTGCTGGTTGAGGCCAAAGCGAGCACGGCATTTCTTAGGCGAGCCAGGGTCTGCTCACAGCCATGCCAGAGGGGCAGAGCAGGGCAGAGGGCGAGCAGGCAGGCAGCAGGGCAGGGCCCAGAAAGAAGAGGTAACATCAGTGTTAGCTAGTCACAGATACTCCTAGTCACAGCCAGCCCCAGTGGGAGCCCTAGGGCCCAGAGCCAAGGAATTAGGAAAGGTGGGCACGGCACTCAATTGGGCAAAGAGGCAGTGCGAAGAATGGTGGGGAAAGAAAGGGGACCCTATCAGGCTGGCTCCTCTCTGTGGCTTGTAGGGCTCCTTGCAGTATGGAAGATATGGGAGAAGAACCCAGGGATGCCCATGGGGATCCATATCCAGCCTCTTCTGCCTTAGGGCTGCCTCCACCCCAAAACTTCCTGCCACTTTATCCATTTTACTTTTCATTTTTGCCAGCGCTCTACCTGTTTGACCTGTGCTGTAGCTTAAACATTATTCTACATATTTCTCCAGATGGAAAGTAAAGCTGATTCTGCAAGCTTAGAAAAAGGGCTGAGGACTGCCCTGCTCTAGTCACGTGTGGGGACAGCACTGCTGAGAAAGTCATTCATCAATGTGGATCAGAGTGTGGGCTCCCTGGGTCCTCTATACAGAGCACTTAGCACTGCTATGAAAAACAGGGTGGGCGTGGGTGGGTACAGTATATAGAGAAATTGCTGAGCAGCAGCCAGCAGCTGGGTGACTACTGGGCCTAGGCATGGGGCCTGGCTTGGTCTCCATCCAGCAGTGTGCTTGCTGTCCACCTCAGAACTAACCAGGATGCAGTATCTGGGTTTAACATGGATCATACAGTCAGTCTTTCACTAACTTTCCTTAACAGAGGCAAGCTGTGAGCAGGGTAGGGCTAGCAAAGGTGGTGGGGGTGTGGTGGGTCCACAAACCAATGCTGTGTGAACTGGCTTCTGTTGGTCTTCCCTAGGACTTAGTATAGCTGTTCCTTAAGTAGGGATTTGACTTGTGAGATGCAGGTCTTGTTTTCTGAGAGCCCAGGGCCCAGGCACTGAAGCTTCATGGCCAAGTACTCTGCCCCTCCCTCTGGGCCAGAGCAGTGATTCTTGTCAAATAGGGACTTGGAGAGGAGCCTCCACTACTGCTAAGAGAAGGCCTCACCTGTGTTGGATTCTTGGTGCTTTTCCCTGGACCGTCTCTTCTTCTTCCCCTGTAGGGAACAAAGGGAGGGATCCTTAAATCTAGGAGGTGGACACTAATCACAGTGAACAAGTGGCTGGGATACCTGCAGCCTGCTGCCCAGCCTGGCTGCCCTAGGATTCCAGACGGTTTCGATTGCAGTTCTTGCTAGGTAAACCACGGGGCAATTTGGGGCTCCTCCTCCCACACTGGTCTCCATTTTTAATGTAAGAGTAACTTCCAGGCCCCTTCCTCCTCTTCTGTTCATGAGCCCCAGTCAAATACTGGGCAACAGTCCTGTGTGGAAAACAGGACATGGGCCTGCCTTTAGGTGGGGTGGCTCCTCTTGCTTGACCCTCTACTGAGCTAGCCACGGGAGGCCTTGGACCTTCCAGTCCACCACCTCCCCTCATCTGTGCCTTCAGGACAGTAGTCCTTCCTACCTTTCTTGCTGAGACTGTGGCCTAGGGCATGGAATCTTGAAGGTTCCCCTACCCATCCCTACTGTGTGTTGGCCACTCACGTAGTTGTCCCGCGCCGACCAGCCTGGGTATAGCTGCATGTGCAGCTGCCTCTCCTTGCGGGCAAGCTCGTAATACTTGGCCTGCTCTTCCCGCGACAGTGCGTGCCACTGCAAAGGGGAAGGAGGGGCAGATGGGGTACATCAGGGAGTCAGCAGGCTGTACCAGGGCAAAGGTGGTCAGGGATTGCCCCTGCCAGCCCACCTGCCCATGGCCTCACCCTGCGGCCCAGGATCTGGTTGATGGCAGCACTCTCCTTGAGTGTGCACTCTGCAATGACTTTGGCTCTCATCTCCTTCATGTACAGCATGAAGGCGTTGAGTGGCTTCTTTATGGTTGGTTTCTTGGCCTCCTTCTCTGCCTTGGATTCTGCCTGCGTCTTCCTGAGGGGCACATGTTCAGATCACTTGGGAGCACCCATAATGTCCACCTAATGCAACCATTCTCCTCTAGTGTGTCCAGTACATGTGTAAGTGCATGGATACTTGGGTTCGTTTGTGTTTTTTTTTGGTAATCTTCACCCAAGGGTATTTTTTCCATTGATTTTTAGAGAGGGTGGAAGGGAGGGTAGGAGAGAGAGAGACATCAATGTGAGAGAGACAATTGTGGTTGACTCCTGCATGCACCCCGACCAGGGCTGGGTATCATACCTGCAACCCAGGTACATGTCCTTGATTGGGAATCAAACCCACGATCCTTTGGTGCTTTGGGCCGATGCTCTAACCACTGAGCAAACTGGCCAGGGCAATACTTGGGGTTTTTTAATGAAATTTCTTTTTAGCTGCTCCCAAATGGGTTAGTAGAGTTAAATAACTTCCTTACAGGAATATTGCAGCTAAGAAAGAAAAGGATGTGTGTGCCTGGTCAGTGTTGCTCAGTGGTTGAGCGTCAACCCATGAATTAGGAATTTACTAGTTCGATTCCTGGTCCGGGCACATGCCCAGGTTGTGAGCCTAATCCCCAGTGTGGAGTATGCAGGAGGTGACCAATTGATGTTCTTTCTCATCGATGTTTCTATCTCTTCCTTTCCCTTTCTGTCTCTCTAAAGTCAATAAAGAAAAAAAAATTGAGAAAAAGAAAAGGATGTGTAATGACTTCTTAGCCCCTTCTATCTTGGCTTGAACTAAAGCCTTGTTTCCCATTCCACCCAATCCCTCCTGCTTCTGAGGCTCAATAAACAGTGGTCAGTGGCAAATGCCGCAAGACAGTTGGACCAGAGGCCGCCTCTGGGAGTCCTTGGAGCTTCCAGGCAGCAGGACTTGTGCCTGGTGGAAGAAATGTGTATTGTATCCTGGCTGACAAACAGAGGGGAGCCTGAGGTCTTCTCACCTGTTCCTCTCCCTCCTCCCCATTGTGTGCCTTTTCACTCACAGGCTGCGATCATAGGGCTGCAGTTCCTGCTTCCCTGAGGGGGGTACAATGGCCGGGTGGGGAATGGCTGCTGGGTGACCAGGTACACCAGAACCTAGCATCAGAGATGGGTGGGTGAACCTAGAGGCAGGAGGAGAGTTAACACTTAGACAAGTGTGTACAGGCCAGACCTTGGGACACACAGGCCCTACACAGTAAACGAGGACAGGTGAACAGATCCCCACCCCCATTGGCCTGCATACAAGTACACTGATACATACAAATACCTGCTCCCAACACATTATACAGACAACATTGCAAAAATCTACATATACATCATTTAAGTGGTTACTAAATTGTCCTAAGTAGCTTTTGAATCTCTCCCCTTGTCACTTATTGCCCTCACTAGCATAGTCTCATGAGTCTGTGACTGCCCTGTGGGTTTCCTCACTCTCCTAGGACTTGCTCCACACAACAGCCAGAGTGACCTTTTTAAAACACCTGAGTGCTCCTGGCTACTTTTGTTGAAATTTCCCCACTGCCCACAGCTCTGCATGACCAGCTCTGCTGACATTTCTAGCCCTATCTTTTCCCCCCATTTTCCATCTCCTTCCACACTTTGCCATCCCCAACTGCTGCCATCTCTTTCTACCCCTCACTCAGATATGAAGCTTTCTGTGACCCCTCAAATCTGGCTGGGGTCTCCTTGGGGCTTCCCCATCACCCACATAGTATAGCCCATTCAAATGCTGGGGCAGTGTCTATACCTCCTAACCAGGGCTGGGCTCCATAGGGCTGGAAATGTCTGCTAAATTTCTTGTTCCATACTTAGCATAGATCTGTCACTGAGGGAGTGAGCTAAGTAAAGGGACTCATATATCCATACCTCCACTTCATTTTCTTGCTTTTCTATGGCTGCCACTTTGCCCCTTGCTGCTTACACAGGTGTGGGGTCCCTGAGCAGGCCACAGATTGGAGACACATATAAAAAATGCTGCTTCAGCTTGGGCAGAGCTCGGAATGTCCAGGGGAGTCCTCCTGACTGGCCCTTCCCTCAGCAGGGATACAGAACAGAGGTGAGTGCATACACACCTGCACACGGACTCACTCATGCACAGAGGCAGGCAGGAGCACAAGCACACGTGTGCATGCACTATCCCTGGGCGCTCTGCTCTGAGGCACAGTTTGGCTTGTGTTTAGGCCTCCTGCAGTCCCACTGGCTTCATTCTCAGGCACAGGGCAACAAGGCACTGCAGAATGACAGACAGACGGATGGACAAACGACTAGCACAGGGCAAGCAGTGGCCTGGGCGTGGCCTTGTGTGGGCACTGAAGCCTGGGCAACGAAGCAGGAGCCTGGCTGCAGGAGAGGGGACTCACCTGGGGTAGGGGGCGCCAGGGGCTGCAGTGGGGGCAGGGAAGTGCTGTCTATATCCGCAGGAAGGGGACAGGGGGTAGAGAGGAGGGCTGGGCCTGTTGTTGGGAGAGACAGCTGTTAGCAGTCTGCCTACTGGACGGATGTGGGGAAGGACTCCCTCCATGCTCTGGCCTGACCCATATATTGAGGCAAATTGGCTTCTTGAACCACTCCAGTGTGCTTTAAGCATCTGCCACCAGAGGGCAACCTGTGCTGCACCTGTTTCCCTCTACAGGCTTGTATTGGTGCTTAATGGGTAGAAATGGCAGCATTATGCAGGGAGTCAGCTCAGTAGGCCCCCAGGTCCCCTCCAGCCTTACCTCCTGAAATAAAATGTCTCTGTCAATACAGATTTGATACCTGACCTAGGACCTTTGCACCTACTGTTGACACTGTCAGGACTGTTCTTATGCCCCATTTGGCCTGTTTCAGCTCCTGGTCATCCTAAATGACCCTTTCTCCTGAAAGCACTTGACATCCCAAGCTAGATGACGTGCCTCTCTGGGTTCCTACAGTGCCTTGTAATTGGCTGGCCTCTTGTCAGGGTTGTATACTAGTCAGACTGAATTCTGCGAGAACGGGGACCTGAGTATCAGCCAGCTTCAGCAGTGCTTCTCTGGTGCCCAGATCCTTGCCTGGCACACTTCAAACCAGGTGCAGGGAAGTCCTGGTTTGTATTCAGAGTGGAGCTTTGTCTGGAAATAGAGGGATGAGCTTAGCATGGATAAAGGGCAAATGGAAAGGGACAGGCGGCCTCTAGGTTGGGCCTCTGGCCTACCCTGCTTTCCTGGGAAGCCAAGCTTTCCTGCTGTTAAGTGACTGCCCCAGGCCAGAGAGGCTAAAGACCTGCCCAAGTCACACTGTGATTACTGAGCAAAGGGCCAATTAGCTTGCCAGATGCAATTCCAGCTGAAGATAGGCTCTTTGGCCAACAGTTGGGCCTACTGACTTGGTGTCCAGGCTGGCTTTTCCTGGCCTAGCCATAATAGGCTCTCTAAGCAGACTGGCCAAGGGCATAGGCTCAAGCAAGTACCATAGGGTCAAGGAGGGACTCTGCCCCTCAAGCAGCCCAGCCAAGGAAGGGACCAGCCAGTAGTAGGCACTGAAGCGAGTGGGAAGTATCCTCCTGCCCACTGGGTGGCTGATTAGCAGCAGCCTCTCTCATGGCCATTCATGCTGTTACCTCTCTACTCAGGCCTACCTTACCTTCTTCACACACTCATATGGCCCTGAACAGCCCAAGGTTCTCTCATTCAAGTCTCACACTGAAACAGAGTTCAAGGGTGATAGGGCTGGGACCATAGCCTAGTCTCCAGTCTTCCCAAAGGAAGTATGTATCAGGCTGCCTGGGGAATGGATAGAGTTGCTGGCCAGCCCTGGTACCTATATAGAACTGGCAGCAAGGTGCTTAGCCCAGGATGGAGGAGGAAAACAGAAGGGCAGTATGGGTCCAAATCAGCAGAAGGTGCCCCTTTCCCATTGGGCCCACACTCACCAGCTCACAGTGTGGGGGAGCTGTCCCATGCTGCCTGAGGTCAGAGAGTAGAAGCCAGAGAGGTCAGAGGTCTGCAGAGGTCTGTGAACTGCAGTGGAGAGGGACTAAGTGAGCTAGCCTGATTCAGAAGCCACTTGAGCTAATTACTGCATTCTAGAGCCTCCTGTGGGGGGCCTCTAAGATCCCGCCCCTCTTGCTAGAGTACCAAACATATGGCTTTCTTGGTTCAGGACTATCCCATTGTGATAACAGTGCCACATTTATAGGCTAGGGAGCCTAAGGACACTGAGTGGCCAGTGGCAGAATTGGAGTCATTCAGGAATGGGAGGCCAGGCTTTGACACTGCTAGTCTGCAACTGGGGCCTTTCTGCTGGGGGGCCCCTAGTCTGGGGAAACCTGGCCTATGGAGCCAGGGTTCTGAGCCACCCCCCCATGCCCCACCTTTGAGTCAGCAGGTTTCCCACACTTGACAGTGGCTGATTTCAGAATGACTTTGCCTGAGGCTGAAGTGAATCAGCCATTACAACCACCACTTTCCATTTTCTCACTGGGGGAGGGAAAGGCTACAAGTTTTATAGTTAATCAGCTTTACACAGATGCCTGCTCTTATACTGGCATTGGGAAGTCACTCAGGATTTAGGTTCCTACCTGAACCTAAAGCCTTCGAATTTTGACTTGGCACCATCTCTCCCAGACCTCTCCCTCAGGTCCCCCGATCTGGCATTTTGAGGGGCCCTGATTTTACACAGCATCAGGTTCTATAGTTGTAAAAAGGGCCCAGCCACCTGTCTCATTGGTCCTCTCCCCATCCCAGGTCTGTACCTTGCTTCTGGTTGATGTCGGCCGGTGCAGGTGTGGGGTGTGGGCTGCTGAAATGTTCATAGAGAGGAGAGAGTTGGGGTACGCCATGGGCAGGTTGACTGGCCTTGTTGTGCTGAAAAATGAGGATGGGTGAATGTAGGGGAGACCTGAGGGAGGAAGGCACAGGTCTTGGGGCTACATATAGACAGAGACCCAATCAGCTGTGTGTATGGGCAACCCAACTGTCAAAGGAAAATGGGGGTGGTCAAAACCACAGACCTCATAGGAGGGGGTACCACTCAAACCAAGCTATGACCAGGGGTCCAGCCCTCCTGCCCCCCACCCCTAAGCTCTGCCCAAGCAGTCCCACCTGTGGAGAGCCTCTCGGTCTTTCTGTGCTCTCAATTCCAGGAGGCACATCTCCCCTGTCCAGGAAATTCTTTCTGCTTCCCAGTTTCAGAGATCCCCCCATTTCTGCGAGGCCCTATGACTTACTCACAGCCTCTAGCCCCATACATCAGGACGTGGTCTGAGGACCCGACATACCCTAACTAGAAGCTTTCTTTCCTCCAGCCCCTACACTCTAGGGGTCCTGACTCTGACCTTCTGTCCCACCTTAGGCTGAACAGGATTTGCTGACATAGGTAAGAGCCCCCCCTCAGTCCTATAACTCAGGGGAGGGGCCAGGTGAGGCCAGGCTCCCCCCAGGGCCAACCCACCCAGCCCCACACTTCCTGTTTCCTCAGCACCATAGGACCCTTACTTTTCACACTAGTCACATGGATCTGTCATGAGATGACTCAGTTAGGTTGAGAAGGGGGCTCCCCATGTGACCCAGGCACAGGGAGTTGTGCAGGGCCTGACCCAGCTCTGCATATCCTCAGTGCACATCTGTGCAGGCCAGGGCCCTATAGACATCACCTACAACAGAGGCTCAGTTCCACTCAGAAAAGTCCATCTGTGGGGATGTTCCTGGCTGGGAGCACAGATGAGTGATTTCTGGCCCATGGCACAGAAGAAATGGGACATCTCTGGGGCAAGACAATAATGAGAGATTGTGGCCTGGGCTCCTTCCCACCCAGCGGGTGAAATTTCCCACTTGTTGAATTTGATTCCTTAACATCTCTGGGCTTTAGTTTTCTTTTCTGTGTAATGGCTGTGAGGCCTGGCACAGGTCTTTTGGCACTGGCTGTTGGGAATCCAGGGTGAGGCTGCAGGGAAGGTGGGGAATGAACTGCATATAGCCAAAGTGTGGGCACAGGCTCCCACACCTCCCAGCAACAGCCCTGGCCACCATCTTTCCTACATTCCTGCTTCCAGGGAAGCCTGAGGCTGGGCTATAAGCTGCACCCATCCCCTCAGGGCTTGGGGAAGATGCTGACACTGCTACCCATCAGTCTCCTGCTCATCTGTCTGCCCAGCAGGAGCAGCGTTACATACCAGAGCTAATTAGCTTTCCTTTTGTCCTCAGGCAGAAAAGGGTAGATGTCCCAGTAGTAGTAGCTCCTCCTTTGCAATTGGCATGGAGCCCCATGCCCTTACCTGTGACTAGAGCCCTCCTGGCCTCCTTGGGCAGGGCAGGCGAGCTTCCCTATCAGCCCCAGGGAAGGCTCTCTGCTGTGAACTTGAGGAACAGTGGGCCCACCATGTTCAGATCCTAGTTCTAACACATGTGGCCTTCACGATCTCATGTGTAATCTAATGAACAAAATAGATCCTGAGACATTGAAACAACACAGACTGACAGATCTCAGAGGGAAGGGGGTGGGACAGGAAGAGATTAACCAAATAACTTACATGCATATGTGCATAACCCATGGACACAGTGTGGTGAAGGCCTGGGTGGAGGGGAACGGGAGCAGGGTGAAGGTGGTTAATGGGGGGAGGAGGGGAATCCTACATCCCACTTTCAACAATAAAGACAAATTTGAAAACAAACTTATTACAATACCTGAGCATACATTTCCTTGTAAAATGGAGATGATCAGAGGGTTGCTGTGAGGATAAAGCTCAATTACTTAGTGTCAGGTGATGAGGAAAGGACATGTGGGAAAGCCCTTATTCATCCTAGAGCCTTCCCAGGTGCAGAGGCAGTGCTGCTCAGTGTTTCCCTGGCCCTCTGGTGCTGGGCCTTACACAGGCCAGACATTTTGGCCTGATTATGCCAAAGGGGTTGCCTAGAGATAGCAGGCATGCCTGGCAGCCCACTGGCAGCATCACCTGGGGAGAGAAATGATAGGACCATGCAGTCCCCAGGCCTTGGGTGCTGTGACTTTTATGTTGCTGTTCGAAGGCCAGGCTTCCTGAGCAAGCTGGGGAAGTCTTACTAATCAGGCGTTCTTTTATTTCCAGCACTAAACTCAGACACAACGGTGACAGCTTGGGAGTGTGTGTGGGAATGGAAGGTGGGATGTAGGATCCTCGGGCCTGTAGGTGGCTGAAAACAGAAGTGGGCAGAGACAGCTGAGGGGTATGTGGATACATGAAATCCTTCATACACCGATCGAGCACTGCAAGCCCAATCTCATTCCCACTAAGGTACCAACTGGCTCTCACTTCTCCCATCTGTAAACCTTCCCCCAGCTACCACCTCATGTCTCACTCCCCTTTACTGCAAAACTCAGCAGTATCTGTCTGCACTCCCTGCCTCCAGTTCTCAGCTCTCATCCTCTCTGCAACCTTGCCAGTCTTTTGCCCTAACACTTCACCAGATGGCTCTTATCAAGGTCTCCGTGACTTCCATGTTGGTGAACTCAGCGGTCACTTCACTCGTCTTCCACAATGCCACACACGCCTGATTTTCCTCCAACCTAACAGGCTACTGCTTCTCAGCCCTGTTTCCATCTCCTCATCCTCTTCCTGGCCTGTCCTGAAATTGGCCTTCAGCTCTCTATCTACCCTCACTCCCGGGGTGCACTCATCCAGGCTCCTGTCTTTAAGCGTCTTCATCTGATGACTCCACATTTTGTATCTGCAGCCCCCACTTCTCCTAGGAATTCCCCTCTCCAAATGCTTACTCATAAACTCTGCAAATCTAAAGTGCTACCGAGACTCAATATGTCCAAAGCAAAATCTTTGACTTTCTGTCCCAAAGACTCCATCTTCCTCAATTAATGGCAACTCCATTCTTCCAGATGCTCAGACCCAACACCTTGGAGTCATCCTTGACTCTTCGTTTTCTCTCACACCCCGTAACTATTTTGTCAGCAAATCCTAATGGCTCTACTTTAAAAATGTATGTATAATCCAAACACTCCCTCCTCCTTCCTGGTTCCCCAGCCAGTCCAAGCCACAGCCACTTCTCACCTGGATGACTACAGCAGCCTCCTGCCCCTCAGCCAGTCCTCCATACGGCGGCCACAGAAGTCAGACCATGCGCCACTCTCCTGACCGGGCCTACAAAGCTCTACATGATCAGGCCTCTAACCCCAGTGCTTTGCCATCTTCTCCTCGCTCTATGTCAAGGACTCCCCATGGGTGCTTCAGCTTCCAGCCTCCTTCTCCAGTTACTCCAGTGATCATTTTTAAGTGTGCCATGATGTGAAGTTAATTGGGAAGCACATCCTAGGCTCACTGACCTTTTCACTATGGGATCCTGGGCCAATTTGCCCCTTGTAAAATGAGGATGAGAACATCAACCCTACCTACCTCACTAGTCACAAATATTACTTTCCTGCTTTATCCTAGAAGTTTTAGGAGCTGGAGCCAAGGGCCTCATGAAGGGGGGAAGCTTCCTGGAAACCTCTGGGGCCTTTTGATCGTGATGGGTTTGCTAGGGCAGTGGTAGCTAGACAGCTTCATGGCAGTCTGGATGTCTGGGCCTCGGGGCCCACTCCCTCAGGAACCCTGGTAGCAGTCATTCCCCCATTCACTGCCCGAGGGCATAAATGCCTGGAGCCCTGGCCCAGCTAGTGGAATGAACACCCTCCACAGATCCCTTAGACCGCAGGGGACTTTTAAGTTCATGCTTCAGAGAAGACCCTGTCACTCAGCCCTAGCTCTGGCTCTTAGGTCCTTAGGGCTGTAAGCCTGCTGCTGGCTGGGCAGCTCTGACCCTGGGAAGTCTTAGAGGCAGAGCCTGGGGTCCAAGGGGCCGGCTCCAGGAAGACAGTCCCAGAGCCCCACTCTGCCTGAAGCAAGGGTAGAGCTGACCCTCCTTGGCCAGGCTGGTAACACCCCAGGTTGCAGCACAGCTCAGCTAGGCCTAGGAAACCACAGATTTCAGCTCAGCCTACAGCCTCTGGCCTAGTATGTATGTGTGTGACAGGCAGTGGGGTGGGGCATGGGGTGTTGCCTGGTGGACAAAGGGTTCATCCTACCAGCCCTCCCTGGGAACTGGGGTAAAGCTTCATTAAACAGGAGTCTGCAGCCAAAGCACAGGAGAGGTGCCAGGTGAGCAGGGGTGGGACAGAGAGTCTGCCAGCAGCTGGAGGCCCTGAGGTGGCCAGGGCTCCAGGGCAGGGCACTGAGGGCCTGGCCAGTCCTTTGCATGTTCATGCAGGTTGCCCTTCAACCTTACTCTCCAGGCCCCTCCATGTCTGGTGGTGGTAGCCAGGGGGAACTGTCTGGCACAGGGCCCACAGCCCCACACTCCTCTCATCCAGGGAACGTCCCGCTCCACGGCCTCAGCACAAGGTTGTCCCAGGGCCAGGCTGCCCAGACAACTGGGTGGGGCTGCCTGAGGCTTGGTGTGTGTATGAAAAGACCAGTGACTGGAGCTCCCCTCTTCTTCCCCTGATGGTGACTGTGCCCAGCCTCCAAGGGAAGCAGGCCTGGGTTGATTGTCTCCACCAGGCCCTGAGCACCTTGATGGCACAACCTTATCTTTCTTACCTCTGAAGGCAGAGTATCGAGCACAGAGCTGGACACTCATTAAGTGCTCACAGCATGGTGGAATGTATAAATGAATAAAAAACTCAACAGCAGTCTATACCCCTTGATCAGGAAACCCTGTTCTTGTTCTTTGTCTTTGCATACAGCACCCCTCCCCACCACCCTCCCTCCAGACTGCAGGATAGGTCCAGGACTCAGACCCTGGGCTAGGAGGCCATGTCTGCTACAGTCTTGGCAGAGGTGGTCCTCCCTGCTGCTGCACTGCCTTACTGCTCTCCCCGCCTCCCCGTGCCAAACTCA